AAGCCACAATAACATTGACAAATACATAGTTTAGGAAGAGCCTGCCTGAAACTATACAAAAAAGCAAATAAGCAAATGGATGTATAGAATTGACAACAACAACCACGCTGTCGAGTTTAAATAGCGGCAAATCAGCTGCACTTGATAGTAGTTGGTTGAATAAGGAAAATGAATTAGCAACAAGAGTTTACGGGATGTACATAGCTCAGTGGTTAACGCTTCTGACTTTGAATATCGAATACGCAGGTTCGATCCCTGCAGAAAAAAAGAAGTCTGATGAGGAGATGTGGTGATCTTCGAAATAGTGCTATAACTTCTACCGCTTAGACTTTGTTGCTTTTTAAATTTTTTCTAATAAACAATCGAGGTACAAAGCTCACTAAAAATATTTAAAATTAAATTTATTAAATCTGAATCACAGCTGCCACCACCGCGATCCATCGATGTTGGAGTCAGAGGTCTTCCCGCTAAGCTATTTTAATATTGTACGAGAAGTGAGAGTTTGTGCATTTACTTCTCAAAGAGCGCAACTACCACACCAAAAGTTTCAACTGTCCCTCCCTGACTAACCGCTTACACGCAAAGCCAATTTAACATTATCTTACAATTCTCATGCAAAGCTAAGTACGCATAACTTGGCTATTATGCTTTTGTACGTCTTTGTAATTTTTTGTAACTTTACACCCAAAAAAGGGTGCTTATCTTCCAAGAATAAAAACATAAGTATGCCACTCTGTTTCTTTTTACAAATGCTTCGTTAAAAAAAAAAAAAATAATTGTTAAAATCGGTTTAGTACTTTGAGAAATAAGTCGTTACAAACAATTACCATATAATCAATTTCATATAATACTGTAGATATAGATTTAGATGTACGTACATATACAATTACTAGCAAATGCCCGCTTGCCTCGCGGCGCCTAATAAGATCTTTTGTAAAATTTTTTAGTTTAAATTTACACGACTAAAAAACGGAATCCTCTTCACACATATGCCAAGAATAGTAGCGCTGTGTTTCCATATGGAATACTAATCCCTTTCGATGTAATGCGATTTACCTATGGTCTTATTTCCACCTGTGATATCTCTGCCAAGCGTGCGTAATATTCTCCTATGATCATGCAACTTCAGCATTGGTCCGGTGTACCATGTAAGCCAATAAAAGTCCTTATACGGAAACTCAAGAGCACAGATGAGCGTTTTCAATTATAGGAAGGCCAAGAATCCCCGCTGCCCCACAGGATGAAACGTGTTCGCGTACCTTGGCTAAATGAGTCGTATGACCTCATGAATATCGTTCAAATGAAGCCATTGATATACCTATCGTGTTCCTTCTGGGACAGATGTGGTCGAATCTTTCCTTGTAAATTCCCCACTTTTACAATTCGTCTTAATATTTATGAATTGGTTTCTTTGAGTCTTACTGCTGTAATAACGGCCGCCTCGAGCAACTTCGTCAATCGGAGGTAGATTCAAGATCACGCTGACACAGTGTGTAAACGCATCCTTGATTTAGCCATGTGAAAAACAAATTCGTCTAAGATAAACAAACCCCGTGGGGTTTTCTATATAATTCGGGTGCAGCGTTATCCATTGGGTCCTCTTTTGCAAAATTTTTGGTTGTCATGAAATTAGTACGAATTATGAATTTCAATCAGATTTATAAAAAACACGGATTTTCTAAATACCTAAACTCCAGCGGGTCCATTTTTAGCAAAGGAATTGTTCATAATACAGGTAGTAACGCTGCGAATTTGAACGAAATAATAGGACCTTCGACAATTTGACTGGGTTCTATTGAGTGGTTTTTGAGTTTAGTCCGAAAAACGGAAATGGCTATCATTTTATGTATGTAATCTTCCTTATCCTAAGTTTCGCCCAAAAAAAATTTACGCGAAAGTTTTGATTCCCCCCATAGTAAGTACATGGAAACCATGATAAGGCTGAATATGGTTCGAATTAAAAAAAATTATCATTAAACGCTTCGAACGTGTATTAAAAAAACAGGTTCATAAATACCTCTTTTATAAATAACTCGACTCCAGCACCACCTAGNGCAAAAAAAATTTACGCGAAAGTTTTGATTCCCCCCATAGTAAGTACATGGAAACCAAAAGCGAAAAGTGAACCGGTTCAGGGAAGATGAAACTCATGATAAGGCTGAATATGGTTCGAATTAAAAAAAATTATCATGAAACGCTTCGAACGTGTATTAAAAAAATAGGTTCATAAATACCTCTTTTATAAATAACTCGACTCCAGCACCACCTAGCTGGTCCTTTTTCGCAAGTGCTTTTTTCACCATGCTTACGAAATCGGTTCATAAATACGACTTTTATAAATAACTCGACTCCCGCGCCACCTAGCGGGTTTATTTTTTGTAGACGTGTTTTCCAGGACCATATATTCAAGGTATAACCTCTGAAAGTTTGACCGAAATATATGCAGTAGTTTTTGAGTTAACTCCGAGCAACGAAAACGGCTATTATTTTATATATATAGAAGATGTATGTATTACTTTCCATTGTTAATCATGGTTTGCTTCATGTTTATTGTTTACCGTTTACATAAAACAGGCTCTGTGAAGATGATACGGGAGTGTCGAAACGCGTAGGAGAGACAAGAAAACAACTTAAACACTTCGCCTTTTTACTCCATCGGCGGAAGCAGCTCCAACCCAGGAAAACAAAAATTACAGGTTTGTAGGTGGTTAATTACTTGGATCGTATAGTGCTGTTTTTGATTTTCCGTTTAAAAAAGGGGGACAAAAAATAGCACTTTGTGTGGAAATTACCCATNAGAGTGTCGAAACGCGTAGGAGAGACAAGAAAACAACTTAAACACTTCGCCTTTTTACTCCATCGGCCGAAGCAGCTCCAACCCAGGAAAACAAAAATTACAGGTTTGTAGGTGGTTAATTACTTGGATCGTATAGTGCTGTTTTTGATTTTTCGTTTAAAAAAGGGGGACAAAAAATAGCACTTTGTGTGGAAATTACCCATTAGCGTTTTATTCCGAATATGCGGCTGAAATGGTTCAAACTTTTGAATGTAAAAAGAATTTAAAAAAATATTTAACTACAAGTTAACAAAAATATATGTATATTTAAATCTTACCCCAATGCCATGCTTTGTAAGAGTTAACATTCGATTCGATAACTTTATTTTTCTTCCATACATTAGAAACATTTTTTGTAAACGAGCAACAAAAGAACGCTCACTCGGGTACAATTTCCTTTTAGCAGCTTAAGCAAAACATGTGATTAGTTTAACGGGAGTTAGACACAAATAAAATAGAAACGAGTAATTATGCGAGATACTACGTAATATATAAGTTAACAAGGGGGCCAACACACTTACTTACGTGAATGTGCTGACGCCGCACTTCGCCAAACACGCGCATAGCCAGTGCNAAGTTAACATTCGATTCGATAACTTTATTTTTCTTCCATACATTAGAAACATTTTTTGTAAACGAAAACAAAAGAACGCTCACTCGGGTACAATTTCCTTTTAGCAGCTTAAGCAAAACATGTGATTAGTTTAACGGGGATAGACACAAATAAAATAGAAACGAGTAATTATGCGAGATACTACGTAATATATAAGTTAACAAGGGGGCCAACACACTTACTAACGTGAATGTGCTGACGCCGCACTTCGCCAAACACGCGCATAGCCAGTGCAGGTAATTGACCTGCAACGTAAGCGATACCAATTGGTTTTATACAAACAAAATGCAAATCGTGGGAAGCGCAGCGTCAGCTACTAATCAATAAATTCGGGCCGTTTAGATACTTAGCGATAGCTTTAAGTAATATTTTGTATTCATTATTATTTGGGAGCTCAATGGTAAATATACACTTGTACTGCTTATCTTCTTTTTCATTTCTATCCTTAGAGAAACCTGGGACCGCGGGGTGGCCCCAACTTTAATTTTTTCGGGCACGCATCCGCGTATTCGTTAAGTGGTGCCCGAGCAGGGACCCACTGAAATGTGGGTCCTTGGGAGGAGCCTGCTTAACCGTGGGACCCCTTTGGGAAGGATCCCCTTAACTGTGGGNGCCGCGGGGTGGCCCCAACTTTAATTTTTTCGGGCACGCATCCGCGTATTCGTTAAGTGGTGCCCAAGCAGGGACCCACTGAAATGTGGGTCCTTGGGAGAAAGCCTGCTTAACCGTGGGACCCCTTTGGGAAGGATCCCCTTAACTGTGGGAATCCTTCCCGAATGATTGCTGCAGGTGATGGAAAGTGATGTGATAAAGCGGTAGTGGCAAAGTGTTGGTGCAAAAAAAGTGATATAAAAAATTAAAATTATAACAAAAGGCTTGTACATCCACATAACAAAATATTTCGAAACCGTGGTCCATCGGGACCTTCCGGTTTATAATATTAGCTTAGCTCTGCGATCCCCACGGGGCACTCCAGAGTATAAAAGCTCCTCTTCCTAGAATAGGTCAAACAACTTAAATAATAAAAATAAAGCTGTCAAAAAGGCTCATAAGGGCAATAAGTTAATTAACTCAACACTGCTAAGTCCTGTGACCCCGATGAACCTCAGGCTTAGACTACAAATTACTACGTCCTCTCCTGTCAGTCCTTGTTGGCTGATACAGGAATAATAATAGTGCAAAATGTCCTGTGACCCCGAAGGCCCTCAGGTACATACTTAAATCAAATATTATAACAAAGAATGAAAGGAAGTGAAATCTTCGACACGTGTAAATTTTAACGATATCAAAAGAATTAGAACGTGAAAACCTTTGAAGCCTCCACGGTCACAGAACTGGATACCTTTGCGCAATCTTATTGGCTAGGCGGATCTGCGTCCCTATACTCCTAGGCCGGAATCCACCACAACAAAGCCAATTGGTTAACATATTTTGTGATCCTGCAATAGCCACCAGTCTTAGTCTGGGTACGCCCGTTTTGGGTGCACGTTGTCGTTCACATAAGAACACGGCTGCCACTCCTTGATTTCGATGGCACTTCCAGCGTACACATCAGAACACACTGGAGATTGTGATAGGTCCAAAATTATGTTGTGGAGCAAGCTGTGCCTTAGGAGGTTGCCTTCACTTTGATTGTTGACGACTAAAACGGATTACACAGCCCTTCCTTGACCAGAAATCAAAGCATTTAAAGACTGTGAAACGCCAACCTAGTACATGTCGCCGTTCACATCAGAACACGGTAAAAGTTTCACAAACCTATTTACGGTTCTTTTCTTGTTATTTTGCAGGAAACTGTCAAAGTGTAAGAAAAGAGCGGTAACTTCAAGCAACAACAAAAAAGAAGAGAAATACAAAAAAACCAGAGACCGGAAATAATTATTATCCTAATATTTAGGATCAAAAACGTCGCCTTGTTTTAAGAGAAATTTTTTTCG